GACGATTATGAAACCTTTAGGAGCTGCCAAAACGTGCGCTGACAATTACTCTCGCAATGTACTGAAGTGAGACAGGCGAGAGAATTAATCGACGGAAAAAGGGCGGAAAAAGGGCAACAGCAGTGAGTTCAAACATTAACACGAGGTTTTTTTAAGAGCGGAAATATTACAACTGTTGAATATATCAATCGGCATTTCATCAAAATAATTTTCGTAAAACTACGTTCGGTTCGGCCGAAATTTTATGCAGCGCGCTACCATAAAGCAACGAGACTGACATTGTCTGACAAATGTTATATAAATCTTCTATCATGGTGCCATTACGATAAAGCGATTTAATTAACTTCCATTAACAATGTCGATATCAGCTCGTGTCAATTCCCTGTAAAACGCCCGTCGCGACGCTGACACGAGCAAGAACTGTTATTCTTATCAACATCGCGCGCTCGACGGCGAGGCGCGAGAGCGATTAAAATAATTATCGTTAATAAACGACGTTATCCGTTTTGGCGGAAATTCGCGGGCATAGCCGGGGACGCGGGACAATCGAGGCCGGTGCTATCGATCGGATGATTAAACCGGCGTCCCTTCGTGATCTCCCATGAATATTAATTTGGATTACAATGCGGCGACGTTCACCAGCGTAGTCAATACCGTGAAATATCGGACGACAGCTGCAAGAGAGAGATCCATTGCGTCGATCGGGGGCGAGGGGTGAGAACGATTCGAGATCGGGCACGACGTCTAATTATTCTTTTTGCACTCGCAGAGCTCCCGGTAACTGTCTCTGTACCACCGGAAGGTGGTTGCGGCATCTACCACTTCCGCGACGCTGTATCTTGCATTTCTTCTTCTTCTTCTTCTCTTTGCCTATGGATATCCGAAATCTTCGAATCGCAGTACCACGGTTGGTGTTGGTTCTGGATAAGTCCCTATAAGGGGTCCAGCCTTGTGGTTATATCTTGCATTTAAGCCAGTAAGCAGCGTGATAGTGAACCATGAACTCGTCGTAAAACGAGATCGCGCGCCGATTCCGGACGAGCGGTATGATAGACGCTTCGAAGAGCGGCGCCACGTCGTCTTCAACAGCTGAAACACAATTCCTCCGCTTTATTTCCCGATAAAGGTCGTAGGATCGGAAAGAGAACAACGTCATGGGGGTGTCGCGTACATTTTAAGTGTAAATATCTGGTATCTCTCGGGAGCCTTATAGCTGCGTTAGACTAATGCGGAGGGGAGACTTCATCAAGGATGCATGTATTACTTTGCGAAAACGAAGTCAACTCTTGCTCACTCTTGATATTTAAAGTAAGGGAAAAAAGTAAGAAGTCCTTTAAGGAAATTTAAAACGACTTCGACTCTCTTTCTCTGTCGTCAGATGCTTAAAGTTTTATACCGGGAATTACACGATTCTTGCGAATTAAACTTAAAATTCGAAATTTTTTACGCGATTCTAGCTATGAGGATGCGGCTTTGACATTTAAATTAATATCTGAGAAATGTGTAGCGAGATGTTTTGGCTGCAACTTATTTAACACGTTAACTAATGCGCGAAGATTATTTCTAATTCAGCTTTCGGAAGTGGTACGGTAACTCGGTAATAATGGACTGACTCGTCAGTAGAAAAGATCGTGTCGAACTCGGTATGAATGGATATCGACAGCGCATTATCAGAGTATGTTAAAAGGGTGTACGAGGAGAGGAGAGAGAGAGAGAGAAAGAGAGAGAGAGAGAGAGAGAGAGAGAGAGAGAGAGAGAGAGAGAGAGAGAGAGAAGAGGGAGAATGTGTGTGCCACAACTATTATGCAGCGCGAGACAAAAGACAGCGCATTCTGGATATTTATTACTCTATTGCAAAACATCGTCGCGTTACATCTCGATGACGTCCCATCTTCCGCGAGAATGAAATTATAATATAATATTTTCAACACACGGACCGGCATTCATTCATTATAACGTCCGAATTATCGATAAAAGAATACCTAATGTGACTCAAACTCGATATTTCAGCGAATAAATCTCTAGTAAAATGGAAATTATTCGAGATCAATTACAGCTTGCTAAGATCGTATCATCGACGAAATTTGGTTATCATTACTTGAGATTATTCTTGATTTTTCTCGGTGAAACGTATGCTTACTCAGTTTGTAAGTAGGCCCGTCGAGTCCATATGGATCACCGATGATGTATTGATCGAAGTGCAAGCCAACACGACGAAGACGGCGAGGACAGCGAACAGCTTCGTTATTGCGAAACGTGCTCAGCTCGTGCGCACTCAAAATTCGTTTGGAGCAATAATGAATTTGAGCGGCGTCGCGTTTTATATACCATCGTTACCGCCGAGAATCGTCCTATTCTGTTTTCCTGCAGGATTTTCCGTCGACTATGCTTTCGACGATTGGAATTTCCCGCGGCTTCGTTTTCGCGTTCCCTATTTCCCTAAAGCCGATTCTACAATACGTCATATGTCGGCGTTGTAAGCTGCAAGCTGGAAGAATTGTCGATCACAGTCGAATATTCTCCTCATATTCGTTAACTTTTTCTCAAATTCTTATAATTTATTATGGCTTACTCTCTAAAAGTGAATCAATGGAATCATCACTGATTGTCAGTGTATGTCATTTTTCAATGGCACAACTGTGATAAACAGTGACTATTTCAATGTCGCTCCAGTGACAATATACTGATTTAAACAGTGAATATCACTGAAACAGCGACATTGAAATAGTCATTGTTTATCACAGTTCTAAGTATGTCACTGGAAAATAATATACGCTGACAATTAGTAATGATTTCGCTAATTCACTTTTAGAGAGTACAACACTGATATATAGGACGTATTGTAGAACATGCGTAAATACGGCCACCGACCAGATTCTCCACGTGAACTGACCTACGTATCCGAATATTAATTTCCGGCATTATCGCCGTTACCGGGACGACTGAGAGAGAGAGAGAGAGAGAGAGAGAGAGAGAGAGAGAGAGAGCGAAAGAGAGAGAGGCGAACGAAACGGGTCGATCGATCCGCGGCGTTTCTGTCGTCGTGAACGGAAGCGCGGACGTGACTATAGCTCACGTGGAATATAAGTGAATTAAAAAGAAATCGACAGGTATTCATTGCGCGCTATTCAATTTCTGAACTTGGAAGGAGGCTATCGCGAGGCTTCACGGATGTCCTTCCTTCACTCGGTAGTCCTTCGTACTTTTGACACACGCCGCGGTATCTCTCTGAAAGTGAATCAGTGGAATTGTAGCTGCACTGATTTTCAGTATATATATCATTTTTCTAGTGGCACTCTACTTAGAGCTGTGATAAATAGTGAGTATGTCAACGTCTTTTTAGTGATAATATACTGATTCAAAGTGAATATCGCTAGAAAGACAGTGAGTTTCACTGTCAGATAGTTTTGAGAACTGAAATTCACTGTCTTTCAGTGAAATCGCTGTTTGTATCGGAAACGTCCTAATATATTACTACTAAATAATAGTAAATAATAATAATATTAGTAAATAATATAGTATAATAATACTATAATAGTATAATAGTAATAAATATTATTACTAAAAGAACATTGAAATACTCACTGATTGTCATAATTCGAAGTATGCCACTGGAAAAAAAAATGAGATACCCTGCAAATCAGTGATAACTGCCACTGATTGTGATTCCAGTGATTCCACTGATTCACTTTTAGAAAGTACGTTATATAAAAGAGGACGTCTCTCTGGTAACGGAACACCGAATGTCGGAGGTATAGATAATTTATCTCGGCGTGTACGTTTCAATTATGAATAAGGGACCCGTTTAAAATTTTCGATTTACGCCGACCCGGATTCGATCCTTTGCGCGATAAAAGGCCGATCCACGCGCAGATAATAAACAATTGAAATTGCCGCATTACGACCACAAAGAGAGTTAAAATTTATCGGAAATACGAAATGTAAAGGCCAATCGGAACAATACTATGCAGCTCCTTTCTTACAGCCGTAGCGCAAGCTCCGTTGTTTTTAAATTGTCGTGTGCTAATAGCGCTGATCTATACGCGTTCCGCATACCCGGAAACGTCAGCAATTTGTTTGTGAGAGAAACGTCACGGCGTCGGTTAAGCTGTGAATAAACAATCGATAATGGTAGGTAATGCTGCACAGCGGTCACAGGTGATCGCAAATTTCATTAGCGAATCGAGCTATGCACGGCAGCTCCTGTGACCTAGATACTGAACAAAAATATGACTCCTGCGAACACTAAATATTTGCGTAACTGCATGCGCAAATGTAACGTTTAATGCGTTACTGTCATTCGGGACGTATTTTTTTTCCCTTCCCCTTTCCGTGTGCTCGAGAAGGGGCGTTACAGCCCCGGGGATTGTGCCGTTACACAACCCACGCAAATATATTTATGGAGATTTAACGCCGAAATTACTCCCATTACACGGGGCGCGCGATGCGCGAGGTGGGGTGCGTGTCCTGGATATATCAAATCGAAATGCTCGCACGTGCTCGGAATTACACGAGCCGAACAAGACTATATATTACGTGCAGTGCTTTGCCCGCCGGATAGACGTTTGTGCGTGTCACCGTGGAAAAATATAAAAAGTCCTGCGGGGAATCTCTCGAATCTCGGTGTCGCGCACATCACTCGAGAAACCTCCTCGTCGGAACATCCGTTCGGAATCTTATAAGCAGCGCGTGTACCGAAACGTTGATTCCGTTTATAGACTAAATGCCGGACGTTTGATCGGTGAAGCGAAAGAAATGTAAAAGCAACGAAAAGAATTGTATAATAAAAGCAATTAAAGAATACGGGTAAATATAGTGTGCAGTGTCTGCACCAGCAGCGCTCGTAGTTTCAATCTCTCGATGAACTTTTATATTAAAGAGGATTGCCGGAATGTCGCAATTAAAAAATTCAGACCTCTTAAGATATTTATAATAGATCGAAGAGAGGAAGATTCGCGGAGCGTTTTTAAAATCTTATAAAATATTTGTAAGGACAGGAAATGAGAAGACAGTCGTACTGTCCGAGCTCGAGCAGCGGAAACGGCGCCGGCGAGCCGCTGATCGTCGTTGAGGAGAGCGCGCTGGGCGAGGAGGAAGCGGAGCGGTGCCGCGCGGAATCGCCGCCGCGATGCGTCGACCCGGACTCGCCGTCCCTGAATCCCTATCTGCTCTCGCCGTGGAGGGACGCCAGGAAGCACTCCTTGCCGACGCCACAATGCACATCCGGGATAACCGCATCTCAGGTATGTACATGCTGTGCACGTGCACAATGCCTTTCGATATACCCCGGCAAACACACCAAGCAACATTATGTAGCGTACATAGATGTTAGTTGTATAATAATTTCCCCATTCAACAATATAACTATATTATAACACATGTATGTTATAGTTATATTGTTGAGTGGGAAATTACAACTAACAGGTACGTTATTACATGTTAGACTTGGTGTTTGCTGGGACACAACATACCCGCGCTTTATATGCCACGTTTATACCCTTTCACCCCGAACATGATTTACGCTTTTGTACTCGGTCAAGTGTGATTTCGTTTCTTGTTGTAAATTGTTTACATATGGTACTTGATGAGTGAATCAGTTGTAAAGATATATTTTGCCGCTAATGCACGCTCACCACGATCACTCGTCCAGCGATGAATTGTATAAAATAGACTCCATTTGATATAAATTACAAAAAAAAAACGTAAGGTATTATTATCACTTATCTACATAAGCATTGAAGCACCATACGTCTCACGAATGTCAGCGCCATGACATGAAATGGGCGCGTTCTGCAGACAGAGAGCAGATCTGAGCAGTGATTCTTTAGTATGATTGATTCTTCGCTGGCTCTAAATGTATAGAAATCAATTTAACAAAAAAAATGACAGAGTGATCTGCTTTATCTCTTTGCTGAACACGCCCATTCAAACAGTTTTGATCCTTCATGTTATCGTTAAGTTGTGTCGCGTTCAAAAGCTCAAGTTTCAATGCGCTCACACGAGGCGTGACGTACGAAAGTGTAAATCACCCTGCGGTCAATTGAATTTCTCTCTCGAGCGATAAGATAAACCGTTCTGGGTGCCGGGATCTCGATTAGTTTGGTCTCCTCTTAAATTGCACGCGGATGAATAGGTGCGACGGTTGAGCGAGCGCGGTGGAGAAGGTTCCGGTCCATCGGCGAGGGAGGCCGCCTTCCTGGCGACGCTCTCGCAAACCCCGGCACCGCAGCCCGGCGGCCGGCGGCATTCCGTCGTCACGATCTCCAGGGTGCCGACCACCCTGTTCGGGCGAAATCGCCGCGAGTCCATCGCCGCGTTTCCCATGGGAGGCGCCACCAGGATATTACAGAGCCGGCGGGACTCGTCCACCGGGTTGGCCGGCCCGCCCAGCAACAGCGGGAGCACTCACAATCTGCAGCTCGACATTATGGACGACATCGCCGAGATCAAGGCCAGAAAGGTAGATCGTAGCTCCGGATTAGAGCGGACATTTTTTATAAGTATAATCATAGTAATGGGGCACATCATGTGGCACACAGAGTATAGTAATAATACTTACATGAATAATGTAAACTATATAGCCAGGGCGAATAATAAACCGTAATAAGGTCATTGCAGTCTCATTTCGCTGCCGGTTTAATAGAATCGAGAGATATAAGACCGGGACTTATGATAATCACTTGTAATCTCATGATAACCACTTAGGCTTATTAGGCTGTCCGCTATATTGATTTTTATCATGACTGCCCATCTTTGTGCCCTTTGAGATTAAACATGTAAGAGATCGCGCGGCCATTAGGCGTCCAATTGCAATTCTAAGATATTCTTCACGTAAATTCGAGAGATCTTGTATAAAGATAATGATAAAATTGGCTCTTGAAGAACGAAAGCATGAAAAAGCACGAAAGAAAAGGGTAGTCTAAATAATATACATATTTTCTCGATCAAAGAATTTAACTTTTCAAAGAGAATAATTCACGTTCCGAAAAAATATGAGAAAATGATTAAAGTTCGTATTTAAATTTCGTTTCGAAGAGAAAGCGCGTACTATATGCTACGATTAAAGTTCCATTAACAATTGATGTCTTATATTAATTCGATATGTATAGTTAGACAGCTCTCTGACGTTTCGTTTAAGCGGGGAGCGCTCTAATCGTGCTCGTACACGCGTCCCATCAGGTCCGTTTAAAGATGTACAAGACGCCGTCCCGCGAGCGCGTATGCGAGATCCAGCCTCTGGAGGGCAACGGCAGCTCTACCACGCAGAAGTACATACAGCATCAGAAGCGCCGGTTCTCCGAGTTCTCGGCGTCGGTCGCGGCGTCGACGTCGGCCCTGCGTAGACGCGCGTCCGAGATGACGAGGCCGCTCTCCGAGATCGAGATACCCGGGACGTCGAAGGCGACGGCGGCGGGCATCACGTGCTCCAACACGGATCTGATATCCATCCTGAGCTCCCTGACGTCGTCCGCGACGGAGATAAACACGTGCGGCACGCCGGACGCGCCGAGCGCGAAGGACGAGCAGAAGTCGAGCTGGTCCTCCAAGACGGCGGAGCAGAGGCGCAGTCGGCTCAAGAGCTCGCGCTCAAACAGCTTCGACGTCTCCATTCTGCACAGCACGAAGGTCAAGACGCCGACCAGCAGCGGCGGCAAGAGCACCATCGCGCTTATGGCGCCGAGCACCTGGTTCGCCAAGAGGCATCAGCCCATCTCGAAGAAGAGCCGATGCGACGAGGAGACCGCGTCGACGTTCAGGCTGGACAAGTCACGGATGATTAAGACTGTCAAGGACACGCTCGTGAAGAACATAAACCCCAGGCACAAGGTTCTCTGGGACGACAGCAGTGGCACTAAGGTGGACGCTCAGGTAAATGAATTAATGTAATCAGACTCCGTTCAGACACGGGTCCAGATTAATAATAAGCAAGTTGAACGGGATACAAAAGGAACGATTTTGCTGAAAGATTTAAAATTCTTCTAGCTGGATACAGATCTGAAAATAATTTTGTCGGACCATCTAAATATTATTGTGTTGGAAACTCGAGCATGATGAGCAATGCTGTAAAAATTTTTTATATTCTGGCAATCAGTTTTCGACATAATTATTTTGATGCGTGGTCTAACAACAAAATTGTTTTTACATCTGTATTCAGTTAAATTTTAAATCTTTTAGGAAAATCATTCTTTCCGTGCGTGCATTAATATATGACGAAGACTACTGTTCGTACACCTTGAGAAAAAAAGCAAGTTGCTCATTCGTGTTTATTCGCGCTTGCTTGATCTGACTTTAGAAAAGAATCGGAAGTTCTTGTTAAAAATATATCGACCACAGAAGAACCGAGAAAAAAAATTAATGAATACTTCTTCATTAGATGCGTTTGCGAAAATTGAGAAAATGATTGAAATTATTAACTTTGAGGGAAGTTCCATGGCATTATTCGATATATTTTCACTTGTGCATCCAAGATGATAATGTTATACCGTAAAAAAGAGAGACTAAGGTCGCGTAAAGGTAAAATTTTTCGCTTGATTTGATATTGATAGGTGCTCGGTAATGCCATCGAGAAGATCCTCACCTCGACCCACAGGGGAAGCGACGCGGAAGCGTCGGGCAGCTCATCCGGAAAGCCATCCGTGTCGCCGAACAAGTCGCGCGCCAGCAAGGTCGCCAGTTGGTTCACGAGCGGGAACAAGGAGCAGGAGCAATCGGACTGCGACTCGATCTGCTCCACCCTCAAGGATCTCTTCGTCAAGTAGTGGCGCACCACCGGCCGGACCCGTGCAGCTCTCTCTCTCGCGCGATTACGACGATTCGTATGTTTCGTTTGTAAACAAGATCCGTTGAATCGACAGTACGAGTTATTTGCTGCACTGCCGTTATTTATTTATTTTCCTTTCTTTCTCGCCGAATGAGTTCTACATTCGAGTTAACTCCCGCGCAAATCCGAGGGGATCTGCCGGGACGCGGTTCTCCTGTTTACCCTCTTGAGTTGAGAAGGATTCAAACGCGCGGAAAGCATCGGAAGCGAGAGAGAAACGTACGAGAGAAGAAAGATCAAAAGCGCTACGGTAGATTACGGGTTTGATCGAAGATGTGTCGCTATTTTTTTGTCTCTCCCTCTTTCTCGCGCATATTTTTCTTTCACACGGTAAAATAATTCAACGTATACCCTCGCGCGCATCTGTCCTTTATGAAACATGTTGAGATGCCTGGCGTCTTCCTTCTCACACTCGGAATTTACTTAATTGTGTTCTGAAGACAGAAGGATAGGAGATCGCAATGAATCCAGATGACGTCACCGAATTCTTTTGGACTATACTGTCGATACGAAATTTTGTTTACGGCCTTACACGATATTTCGCTTCAAGGAGTAAATAGAAAATTAACGTTTGGCGCATTTTGTAACACATTTATCGATAACGAATATTCGTGGTTTTAATTTTTGTGGAAATTGATATCGTAAAATTGATATCGTAAAATTGGTATCGTAAAATATGGCAAGATATATATCTAAATCTGGGGCTTTCGCCAATACATTCGCGCAACACGTAAACATTGAGTTCGATATTTACGGACTATATTTGCTCTTATCCTCCGTGGCTTTATCCCGATTATACCTATACATCTTTTACGGCTGATTGCATCCATGATCGCGCCGCGGGATGACAGATAACGCGCGATCTGTCCTTGTCGCCCCGTGCACGAAACACAGTTTACGCGCACAACGCGACGTTATACGTATGTACAAGGCGCCATGTAATTTCTATTGATAGTGCAAATGTCGAGGAAATCGATTATTACAGAAACTATTTTCGTAGGGGACAATTTATTTTTAGCGATGTGTCATTTTTTAAGTTGTCGCGGGCGGGTTTACATAAATGTTACATTGGCGCGCGAAAGAATTCTAGGATAAAAGTTACGACGCTAAGGAGAGAACACGCACACGTTCTGCGCTTCTCGTGTAACGCGGATAATGTGGATAATCATAAAAACGTTAATCTATCCTTTGCGGGCCAAAGGAGATGCACATGTTATAATTATAATATACATAAATATAATAATATATTCACTGAGAGAGGCGCGCATGGAAAGAGTGGCGGCTGGTTCCGGTTAATTACGCGAGGCGGTAATTTTATCTGTGTCGTCCTTCTTCCTCTGTCTCGTTATACGGTCGGACCGCGCTGTATATCCGTTTTCCTGGCTCCTTTCGGTCGACGCTCGCTCGGCATCACTTCGGGCCGCACGAACCGCCACTGATATAATAAGAATATATATGTACACGATACATATATAATATTATGGGCGTATAGAGATATACGTGGATAAAAGTCATCATGTAACATTTAATAACGATGTACAGCAACGAGTATGTACGCACGAGGTGCATACACGTTGCTGTGTGTACGTATGTGTGCGTGTGTGCGTGGGGTGTATGTGTGTATGTGCATACGTTTCGAGCAGAAAATGTAAAAGATATTCATGTTGCAGCCTCTCGGGAATTTTACGTTTCAAAGGGTAGGATATGCGATCGCGAGTGAGATGCACAAATTAATTCAACATAATTATATATCTGATAATTAAACATCTGACAGAGGAGCTACGGATGAAAACTATGAATGGGACTAACGAAGTATCACGATGTACTTCCTGCAAATGTATATACGTATTAATTTTCCTTGTCGGTCTTCATTGTGTTTGCGCTTGATAATTCTGTTTCTTAAATTTTGTAAGGTACGTACACTCGAAACACAAGCGAGGAAAAACACGTGTTATATTACCTTTCCGTATATTCAAGATTTTAATTTCCATCCAATTATATTTTAATTCTCAGGGGATTATCCGAGTTTTGTCACCGGAGCGTCCGGCAATAGTTAAACAATAAGCGTGCTAAATGCAATTTCCCGTGACATTAAGTTATAGCAATCTCTTTACGATCGGTGTGCAATTAACGATGTCTTCATTGGATCTATAGCCTCTCGCACCGCTGCGGTGTGATTAGAATATGATTAGAATGACAATAGATATGGTTCTTCATGCTGCTTTATTAAGAATTTGAAACAACTTCAATTTATATTAAATTAATAGCTTCAGAACGTAATGAATGTGAAACTTTATGTGCTGTCGTTTTAGATAACTACACACAATCGTAAAAATTCATTTGAAAATTTATTAAACGATAAAAAAAATGTCTAAACGAAACGGTGTGACTTATAAGGTTATGCATTATTTCGATACATAACTTACACGTCTCTTGATATATCAATGTTAAAAAAAAGATGTTCCAAAGATAATAATCGTTGTTATCGACAGTTTTGAAATCTATATATGGAATTGATTGCGTAATGTGATTACCTTGATCTATATGAACTTCAGAACTTGTTTATGAAAAACATATGATGTGAATATAGAGAGTAAAAATACTTACATGTTCTTCGATTGGTAATCAGAGTCTACATAAATCCGCGTAAGTCCATATAGTTTTTCTTTATATCACTATACGTAAAAATTATTGAACGAGCAGCGTAAACAAATCTAAAAAAAAAAACAAAGACGGAAGTACAAATTATTAAACGAAATGATTAAAAGACCAAAAGCACGTGTTATTTTGTCTTACTGGAATGAGTAATAAACTCGAATAAGCAATTTCTGACGCAGATAACAAGTTGCTCTTTTTTTCCTGAATATCATAATTTCCAGAAAGAATGAGAAAAAAATAAATACTTGTTATTTGGGTCAGAAGTCATATACAATATATACATACGTACAATATATATTTACGACTTTCTCAACCTCCCGATGAAACATATCGATTTTTTTATTTAGATGATGAATAAATTTTCATCAATTTAGTAAAGGTAACAATATGAAGAAAAATTATAATCAGTCGACAAATCGATCAGTTGACAAATTATCGTCATTAAAATTCTTATGGGCGTTGTGTTCAAAATGGATGAAATCCGCTTGCGTACTGTTTAGACTAGCGCACCTCCTGTTCGTCTGTTATTTAGATTATCGAAAAGTGTCCTAAGGTTGTAAATAGTATTGGTGCTGTACGTTCTATCAATGTTCTCGCAGCAGATTGATAAAACATGAATATGAAAAAAAAAAAGTAAAATATACGTTGATCGTAAATGTTGCAAACGATGTGTTATTCATATACGTACCTATCAATTTTTCAATACGAACTTTATTCCAGATATTGAAATGGAAAATAAAAAAGGATTAATGAGAAAGAGATATAACGTTCATCTGGATGTTATCTTCAGGAAAATATTTATTTTGAAAATTGAAGAGACATTGTGTAGTTCATCTGATAGTTATGTAAAAAATTATAATACGTGGCACGAATAACGTACAACTTGTTTTTCTTTCTGAAAACAATTTTATTTTTAAGAAATCGAAACTGTTCAAGACTGTTGCAACTACATTTTTCAACTTGGTGTTGTATTACAGTAAGATGGTATCGCTTTCAGGCATTGCCCGCATTACGATAGGCAAACGGGATGTCTTTGCTTTTTTTTTTCGGCAGAGAAAAGAGGAATAGTAAATATTTATAAAAAACATACAATGAGGATTCTGTAATCGTGATATACACATATACGAATCATATGCGTGTAAAAATTAAAGAATATTTATATATATATATATTTATGTATAACGTTTAAAGAGAGAAATGCATCAGTTAACACACTGGAATCAATACATCAATCACTGATTTTTAAATTCTGAAATACCTATCCTAATATTGAAGATATTTGTATTCTTGACCACTCACTAAAATATATATATATATATGTAGAATGATACTGAAAAATTTGAGCTCATTGCATGTGTCTTTCCGCTATTATCACTTAGCGATACTAAGCGAGTGTATTCGTGGAAGAATATGGATTTCGCACAAAAGTCCAAGACTGATTTCTTATAAAAACACACACAAGTGTATTAATCGTGGAACGAAGCAAAGGAGACTTCGGAATTCGCAAATCCTTCATAAAAAGTCACACTGCAAACGAGTTTCTACTTTCTGGTGAAGAAGGAAGTAAATTCACTTGAAATAAGATAGGAAAGATTATTACAATGCAGGTAGATTCTTTTGTTTCTACAAAATCGGACAGGTTCGAATTTCCGTGCTCGATAACAAATTATTGGCGTCGATGAAGAGAACCTTGGTCGATAGGAATGGATGAAGTGGGGCAATAAAGACAGCAAATAGGTATGCAACAGCTAAATAAAAATGCAGTCATTACAGTATCTAGTTGATCTACAACTCTCCGCTATCCGCTATTATGATTTTTTTGGATGTCTTGCCACTTTGAGAGCCCATGGCCTCCAACTGAAAGCATAAATAATTTATGTTATCTGGCTGTTGAATACTTATAAAGTAACTAGCTTATTGTAAAATCTGGGACTCAATTCTGCTATTTTTAAATTCTTTTGTAGTAGCACCTTTAAGTGAATATCATTTGAATATTGATAACATGTGGTATAAAAAGAGATAGATTCATAATTGACGAGTTTCGGATTCAATCTCTTATTCCATAAGTGAATTTGAAATTCGTAAGCTGCTTAGAAACGAATCTCAAAGTAACTGAGCAAGTAAATCGTGCATTAAAGAAGAGATTTTCAAATAAGACTAGCAATAACAGTTATACAACGTTTCAGCTCCTCGCACATAAAACATATAGCCAGAGATTGAAAAATCATACTTTTCTAACAACATCCATTCCTTCGGTGACTTTTCCGAACACGACGTGCTTTCCGTCGAGCCAGCTGGTCTTGGCACTGGTGATAAAGAACTGGCTGCCGTTGGTGTTGGGGCCGGCATTTGCCATCGATAATATGCCAGGTTCGGTGTGGGTCAACTTAAAGTTCTCGTCCTCGAACCTGGCGCCATAAATGGACTTTCCACCGGTGCCGTTGTGGTTGGTGAAATCACCACCCTGGCACATGAAGTTCGGGATCACCCTGTGGAAACTGCTGCCCTTGTAACCGAAACCCTTCTCTCCGGTACAGAGCGCGCGGAAGTTCTCCGCCGTTTTGGGGACAACATCCTTCCTCAACTAAAAAATTATATAAAAAAGGCGTGATTAAAAGATCTTTAGATATTTTTTCTGTATATATCAATAAAAATATATATTAAATTAATGTATTGTGTAAATTAAATATAATATAGAGAAATATAGCATGCCAAGGCACTCGTACACGATTTATGCTGGTACGGTAACGAGAAAAAATTATTTTTAGAGCTTTTATAATTTAGTTTACAAAGAAATATTAACGATTAAAGGAAAAAAATGTGATAAGAGGATAAATATACGCTATGCTCCAGCTCGCGCCATCTGTGTTTAAAATTCTAAACTCGCGTGTTAAAAAGCCGATTCTTCTTGCATTATGCAAAAATATAAAATTGCAATCGCGTGCGAAAGTCTATGTTTAGCCTAGCTGCAAAGTCGCTAATTATATAACGCATCAATTAATTCGCAGTGCTTTTATTCAGAGAAATCCTTTTTTACGAGTAAAAAATCAGTTTGTCCCAATAAAAAGTACGTCTCGCATAAATTCAGATCTTAATCTATCGTATTAAAAAAAAAATAAAATAAAGATGTGAAAAAGGACATCTTATCGATCGTATTGTTAAAATGTAACAACTTGCACGAGCGTATCGCATTTTTTCACATTCTTATCTCAATAGCATTTGCAATATTAATCGATTTTCCGCAAATTCACGGTGATCCTCGGCGGATCTACGAAGGACCGTGCGCTTCTTTATCCGCGGACGCACGTTTTTTTTCTCCAGCACGCACGCGGGACGCCCGACCGGTCGCTGTCGTCAATGGAAAATTTCGTAATGGCCAAATCGTGTGCTGCGTGCATGCTCGCGCGAGCGTGACGCATCGCCAACGATGGTCGCGCTGCTCGCCGATGACTCCGCGCGATCGCGTCTCCCCGGCGACGACGGCCGCGCGCCGATCGACATCCAGCCGTCCGTCGACTACTCGCACGACGGCGACGGCGGCAGCGGCGACGACGACGGCGACGGCGACGGCGACGACGACGACGGCGGATGCGACGACGACGAGGAAATCGAGGAAGAGGATCGTCACACGCGACGCCGAGACCCGGTGCGGAGTCGCGCGAACCGGCCCGGTGGAAAAATCAAGATGGCCAGGCATGCCGGGATCGCAAGGTGCGTGGTCGGCGCGGGGACGTCGCGCGGCGTTACGCCGTGATCGCGCGCAAATTTCGGCTCACCTCCATCACGATGCGGCCCACGGGCTTGTCGTCCGCGGTCATGTCGAAGAAAACGCGTGGCAGTGCCATTTTCTTAGCTGCTGCGGCGATACTTCGTAGGAGCGTGTCGTGGAACGGTCGTCTCGGCCGGGCGGTGGCTCCGAAATGGCTCGAGTGCCTGAAGGTCGAATCAATTGACAGCCGGCAAATCGATCTCAACGCCATTCTGCCGCTCCTGGAAACTCACCGGAAATCGATTTCGCGCCGCGCGATCCGCGCCTTTCGACCCGCGACGACGGTTTCGACGGTTTTACAGGCTTTTCGCCGGTTATTCCGCGAAAATATTATGTAATAAAGGGAACGTTTTCGGTTGCAAATTGGCTGCCGTCGAATGGGATCGCGGTGCCGGTGACATCGGCGAATCGACAGCCGTGCCGCTCGGCCCAGCGCGACGACCAATCGGATGTCTCCCCGTGGATCTTTCCTGCCGCGTGTTGTCATTACCGGAACGTCAAAGTCTCTAGCGTCATGAACGACTTTTTGTCCACAATCTTATACTCGCATGATTAAGGGTTGTTATTTTACATTCGAAATCAGGATGAATGTATACTTGGACTGTGGGATGGGAGGAAGTTGAGCTTAGAAAGTGCACGTAAAATAATAGGAACAGTCGAATTTTGCGAATAATTACATAGTCCTTATCGACATTATATCCACTACGTAATGCGTACCATCACCGCTAGATCGCGCAACATGGACTTTTTGTATCTCAAATGTGTAGTACAGATCGTGAAATATAAAATTCTAATATAAAATTTCGTGTCATGTAGTATAAAATTCAAAATGTTCTAAATAAAATATGAAAAATAGGGAAAATGATTATATATATGTGTAAAATTTAGTGTTATCTGTCCAGGACAGATAACACTAAAGGATACACTAAGCGTAAAAAAATATACTTGGCGGGAGCCGCTACCGCGTATCCAGAGATATATATCTGGATACGCGGTAGCGGCTCCCGCCAAGTATATTTTTTTCGTTCATTTTACTGATGGAGACGCTTATATATATATACATATATATATAATCATTTTCCCTATTTTTCATATTTTATTTAGAACATTTAGAATTTTATATTACATGCGACACGAAATTTTATATTAAAATTTTATATTTTATGATCCGTACGTACTACACATTTGATATGAAAAGTCTAAATTGCGCGATTTAGCGAATGTAAAATGCAAATGTAAACTATATATATATATATTTATATATAGTCATTTTACATTTGCATTTAACAAATTCACGATTCAAACTCAATGCACTTCGGATATACATTATATTTACACGTCGTTATCACATGACGTGCACGTTTCTACAAGATACAAACATTTGAGAAAAAGTGAAAGTATACGACTTAATTAGAAATAATAAGAATTAAAAATAAACTCATATATATGTTCGATGTGATCAGGATAGCGAAAGCTAAGCTCTTCTAATTTAGATGATATACCTTTTATTAAGAAAAGAAGCAATTTGAATGTAATTACGCCGCGACGATAGCTGACGATTAATATCAAGTCTTTCTGTATCTTTTTTTTTCTGTTTCATTTCCTCGCGTCTAGCTGTTTCCAAATCACTCCGCAATGAATTTTTTACACTGTTGTCGCGACGTGACAAAGTATAATAATATAGATTCTGCGAATTGCTGACATTCTATAAACATATACATTTAAATTAGTTATACCGTTCTTGTGATTGTGTGCCCTGTTCAAAGAAAGGATGTGTCCGGAGAGAGGCGCCGGAGCGACGAGATTTCAGTTAGCAGGAGACTGCTGATTATTAGCACAAGTCGGGTGGGAGAGGAGGCCGCGGCGAATCTGTTTGTAAATATACGAGAACCTGATCTCGACGTGGTCTATCAATACCACAGTTCATGTGTATCATCGTGTCTCTCAGCTCCACATATATGTTGTGCCACGAATTTAATATATGAAGAAAAAGCGTAACGAAGGATTCTGCGACACGCGAAGCGAATCGCGTGGCCAAACCTGGCGGATCGGTGGAGAAAATCGAAGGCTATATATTTCAATTCAATCGAACTCCGAGCAATTTTCGATCTTAATTCAGCAACGAGAGAAAGTTTAATCGAAATCGAATTTGCGAACAGCAGACCATCCGATTATATTTGATTATATATATGATTCGTAATCCTTCCTTTAATTTATAATTTGTCAAACAATTATTCTGCCCGTGTTTAAGTAAAACACTGTCTGATAAAACGCGTTCAATAAATCGAATACCGCTTGATAAGTCAATCGTTCAAGTAAAGTTAACTGAACACTTGATCGAAGTCGTCGCAATTTTTATTATTCGTTGCACGAGAAATGATTCGCGCGGCCAAATGATTCGGCCGGCCCGATATATTGTATCGAGACACTTGAAATAGATAATATAATTTCATCATTAACTCATTAATCCTGTCGAGCCTGTGAATACTTCTGTTGTGAGTGCTTTTCCATTGTGTGCGTGTCCTATACGATTATCACCCTGCCTGGTCGTTTTATACTTCTATACCGGTACCTCGATCGTCGCTGACACGGTGCCCGAGCTCGAGCGTGAGAGTCGCGTGGATCGAGGACGTAAGGCGTTTGAAATAGGGAAAAGTAACGGGGCGCGAGTAACGGGTTGGACATTTTAATGCATCCTGGCCGCGCGCGCGGTCGCTCCGAAACCATTTTACGATAGGATCATATCGTCCGCGCGCCGAGTGGAAAATGATCAGCTGGCAATTATACCGAATCGAATGTCGAACGCCGACGACCGGAAGTAAACGCTCGATTTGTCGATTTGACGTTCGAAATCTTCGATCGAGACAGATATTCTCGTGCGATGCGATAAAATACCTTTTTATCTACCATTCACAATAGAGATTGTCCGCGCGGCAAACAAAAATTAATCTGACAATTATATTAAGCTGAATGTAATTGAATGTGAACGCGATCAAAGATATAAGCGCTCAATTTGTCGGCGTTTCAAGTTTTCGATCAAAACAGATATCCATATATATGCTCGTGCGGCGGTAAAATTTTCTAGCTTTCATTTATTAAATTAATAAATTCATACATTTAATTGCATTTAATAATACACTGCAGTCGAGAATAAGAAATCCAATAAGTCCGTCTTACTGAGCGAGTAAACGGGTAGTAAATTCAATTTGCAAACATAATCATTTCACGCGTCTCGTAATCTTTATTTATTTATTTTTTGCAACGTCTTACGCGTGCGTTTATGTGCGCATATAGAAATTCGCGAGCGAAAAATGTGCTGCGTCGAAGGACACAGTACGATTACGACGACCGCGATTACGCAGTTTTTTTTCTCTTTTTCTTTTTCTTTCACGAATAGTCGCCTCCGCCGTGTCCGATAATACCGCGCGCCACGCAAGAGCGTCGTAGAGTTTCGTCACGCTGAAGCGACGTATATAAAAGACAGATGATGCGTATTGTTTCCAGGCTGTTTATCAGTTCGCATGACGCAGTGAATCTTCGCCGAATGAATCGAGAAACGGAAGAAAACGGCGACCAGGTTTCCAGGATCGACCGCGCGGATTCGAGGAAAACCCCTCAATACGGTTTTTCCACTGTATCGCCAGTAATTTACTTCCAACTACGATAAGCGGAAGATAAACGCTTCCGTACATCATACACACCACACGTGCGACACACACACACACACACACACATACACACAAAAGTGGAAGCTGCGCCTCGTCAACGCAAGCCGTTATGCGATCGCGGTAACGAGGCCTAACAGAATCGCGAGAAACTACCGAGAATATAAAACGGGGATGATTAATTATACCACACGCGCGTGGAAATTCTTCTCTCGGGCCACATTCGGGCCTGAATCAAGTGGAGATGTGAATGATCGAATGATATATATTTTCAAATCCGGATTTTTCTGGAGACAGCCGGACGGACCCTCCTCTCGCGGAGGGCCCCGACAATGTCACGGGCACGCGGAGCTGAGCTTGAAACGTACAAAGGAAATTAGTATTAAAAAGAAACGAAACGTACGAACGCGGAGAGCGACCAAGGTATATGGTACGTATATATAGTTTCAGTTTCAAAACTACACGCTCGAAATAAACTGCGGACGATGTTTATATCCGGGGGTGTGTGTATATAGGTATATTTTATCGTATAATTATACGATTTATTATAATTACATACGTCGCGCTTGCCGACACGCGGGCGCGGACACAAGGATATATGTCACGTGTATGGTCGCTCGAATCTAAACACGGAGATCATCTCGTCCCCGGATGATCTCGAGATCCACCGGTGTCGATCGTGTCCGGGGACACGTTAGATCGCCGCGCGCGGAAGGGGCCTGGGCGAGACGGCGAGGGGGAGAGGGGAGGAGAGGGGGAGGGAGAGGGGGGGGGGTATATAGCGACCGCGGTAGGGATCGGCACGCTTCGGAGCGCGGTTCCGCGAAACGGGTATATACCGGCGCACGATGACTCGGCCGCGGCAAACACGCGCCATGCCGTTTCGCGGGAGGAGAGGAGCGTCACCGTCACCGTCACCGTCGTCGTCGTCGTCGTCGTCGCCGCGGGGTCTCGCGTCACCGTCGCCGCGGCTTATTATACGGCCCGAGCCCGTGCGCGCACCATCGTCGTCGCTGTCCTCGCTGTCGTCGCCACCGCTTACGTAAGTCGCGACTCGAGCCGCGTTTTTTTGACGCGATACACGATTAATACGATTATATACATGTACATACGTGGGGACGTCGCGGGAATTTAAAGATTTTAAGCGAAGACGTACAACGTCGATCGCGATTACGAATATTAGTTGAGATCCGGCGCGCGAGTGCACGGGAGAGACTCGAGGAGGAGGAGAGGGAGAAGGAGGACTCTTGTTCGAAACGATCAACGAGGGATCGAATGCCACTACCGTTTCACGAGGTCGTGCAGCCGTGGCATGGTGACCGACGACGGTCCGCTTCTTATGTCAACGCGACGCCGCCGCAGCGGAAGAGCGCCGTGGAGGCCGCCTATGCAGCGCGTGCACGCGCGTGTAAACCGGGCCGCCGGAATCAATCGATGAACGAGAGTCACGGACGCCGTGCGGACGAGTGCAGGACCCCGCAGGCAGAGGATGCGATCGCGCGCGCTTAAATCGCCGCCGCGCGGACCTCGAGTGATGATACGTACGTATCGAATTTTGTATCGCGCGCGCGCGCGCCCCGTGCCGTGCCGCTGGGGAAGTCGGAAGGTGCGAGCGGCTTCGAAGTTTCCCGCGCGACGATAAAGCGCCAATTCGTTGATCCTACGGACGCGTTAATGCAACGGTGAGACGCGACAGCTATATTAGGCGCACCGAAAAACCGAAAGGACGAGAGTGAGAGATAGAGAGAGAGAGAGAGAGAGACATACATACAGAGAGAGGGAAGAACCGTCGCCGTGCGATCGGGTTTTAATTAATCGCCGTGCGATCGGGTTTTAATTAATCGCCGTGCGATTATATTCATTCGGCGAGTCCGCGAGTCGCGAGAAAAGCAGAAGCGCGCGACCCCCCGCCGAAGGCCCTTTCGAGTTTCGCGGTGGGAGTCTCGCGTCGTGAGTCGCGCCGACACGGTGCTAGTCGTGCTCCGAGGCTTCTTATACGTCACGTGACCGCCGGCGCCGGAGCACACCTTTCCTCCGCGAGGGGCACGCGATCGCGACATCACTCGGCAATTTGACCATCTACGAAACGTACACACTCCGCGGTCGGTCGGTCGGTCGGTCGCCGCCGCTGCAGTGCACACGCTCAGCTCAGCACGCTCGACGTGGTCTTTCGGAACGCGCGCGTCGGTTCCACCGCGCCGGGTGCGCGCAGAACACGCCACACGACGTGTGCATGTGGGGACTTGGCGGAAACGCGGGATAACAATATATATATAACGCACACACGCACGTCTACTCCGGATTTCGCGCCTCGCCGTTTTCGCGGTCGAACGTGTGTGTCGCGTGGTGCACCGCCGCCACCGTCGTCGCCGCCGCCTCCCCGCCCGTCGGGCTCTTTTCCGCGCGGCTTTCCCGTCCCGATACCGGCGAGCGAGTGAACGCGCGCGCGCGCGCACACGCTCGTATACGCGCGTCTCTCTCACGTAATAACCGCGTGTGTGCGCGAAGGGTGTGCGGTACGCCCCGTTGTATGTCACGCGTGTGCTCTCGCGACGACAAGTAAGTGCCGGCTTGAGAGTTCCGCCCGTCGCAGCACGCGGCTCGAAGATGGAGAACACGACGTGTCCGACTAACGTGCTGGGGAGCGCGAGCGTGACCGGCTCGACGATGATGCTGATGATCGCCACGTTGATCGCCGGCGGGGTCATCCTCGTGATCTACTACGCCGTGGGCCGGCGATCGCGTTCCCGTCAGGACTCGCAGAAAAGTAAGCATCCCACCAGTCACCCCATCCATCGCCATCCATCGAAGCTTCGCTTCGGTTGCCGAATCCGGCCTCCGGCCGCGTGTGCGGTACGCGCGAGCGCGCGCGCGCTCGCGCATGTATGTACGCACGCACGCATGCACGCACGCACGCACGGTACGCACGTACGCACGCATGCGGTAACACTTCGCTTCGCGCCCGCCCGACGGCGATCGCCGTGCGAAACCGGCCTGTTATTAAATGCCCCCACACTGGCGGCGCGCGCGGCACGCTCCGGACGATTCCGTCGGCCACGTTTCTTCCTTCCACATCGCGAGTCGCGCGCTCTCGCGCGCCAATTTCGACGTGTACCAACGACCGCAGCACGTCGTCGCCTCGGAGCGAATTCGTCGATGTTATTTGTGATGCAAACTCCATCGACATTTTCAGCTTTAGCTTTTCTCTGCGAAACACGAACCCGTGAATTCTTACTCGGATGAAAAAATTCACGATGAAAAGTTCCGAGTGGAAAGTTTACGGCTAAAAGAAAAAAAAAAATCTCGGTACTCCGAAAAAAAAGATGAAAGAAATAAAAGAGAAACGAGAGCAAATGCGAGACACATGGCGTCACGACGACGCGATGAATGCGTTTTTTCAGGTGTTTTCGACGCTCATTCACACGGACCTTTCGCACGTCGATCGCAAACAAGTGCATATTTCTGCGTCAGGTTAATATTTCGCTTGTCGTTTATCAGGCAAGTTTTTTTTTTTTTAGCGGCGAGACAGGAAGGAAGAGATTTTTGGATCTTCAGCGATTAAGAAATTCTTTCATACGAGCGAAATATTAATCTAACGTAAGCACGTGTGCTGCAAGTGTTGAACTCGTCTCAACCTGTTTTCCCTCTTCCTCGCGCGTTTTTCGAATAGGTTAGAAACCCTCGTCCCCTCAGATGCCCGTTCTTCTCTTTTGGAAAATTCCAGAAAACTTATTGGACGCACCGTATTTTCCACTAGATAAGAAATGCAAAACATCTGATGCGCGTGGCGATCACTTAGACCTACATTAGATCCACACGTTAAAAAGGACTGCCAATCTGATTTCGGCTTATCTATGTAATAAATCTAATGTTCTATTATTTTAATATTTTCTTTTTTAATATTTTAATATAATTTATATTATTCCTTTCGGCCTGATTTATGCAATATTTTTTAAATAGCAACTAGTGTTAAACAGAATTTGAAAAAAAATTTTTTTTTTTAAGTTTAGCTTAGTGAGGTTTTTTAATAGTATTATTGGATTTTTGAAAATTTTATGCGTTTGTTATAGTCCGCAAATGATCAACAAAATTCATTATTTAATTGATAATTCTATTATGAATTTATTTCAATCAAAAAAATTTTTGCCATTGAAGTTAATGCCATTGGAGAAATTTTTCCGCTTTTCACAGTTTCGTCCTAGGGAGAAAATTATATGATCGATATCCTGCAAAAAACTTCCATTGTCTGGTGCAGGTAACCCCAGGGATTTTTTGGGCCCATTTAAAAAAATCCACTAAAAATCCAATTTTTATTATTGACGATAATGGAGAAATTTTTCATTTTTCACGATTTCACTTTAGGGAAATAGTTACATGATCAATATCCTGGATTGCCTACGATTTAGTAAGTTGCAAAAAATTCTATGTTATGTGTAGTGCAGTTCTAGTAATTTATTAAATCGCAAGCAGTCCAGTGGGACAAAACGCATCGTGTGCCATAAGCTTTAATCCTCTAGCGAACTAGAAAACTAGTAGTTAAAAAATATACTTCTATAAATTTTTTTTATTTAGAAAACTGACAACTAGAAAAATATAATTTACAAAATTGTATATATGATTTGTTATTATATATTAATAAATTACTTTATAATAGAGAATTAATAATATATTAATATTATTGTTATATAATATATTATTAATAAATTATTATATTATTATGTATAACTATAGTTAAAATAATATATAACCGCTAATGATATAATATATAAGCTTAAAAAATATAATTTATAATAAATTATATTTTTTTAGTTGTTAGTTTTCTAAAAAAAAATGTATAGAATTATATTTAGAATTATATTTATAGAATTATAGCATAGAAATATAGTATAGAGTTATATTTTTTTAACTTATATATATATATTTTAGCTGCTAATTCTTTAATTTGCTAGAAGACTTGCTAATTGCTATAGTAAAAAATATCGTAAATCAGGTCTGAATATCTTAAATGCATAATAAAATCATTCTTAATCGAGGGAATTAACTCGTCACTCACAAATGAGAGGCAGGATCCTTATACATATTTTATGCGTTATAGATATGAGTGACAGTTAAAGTGCTGTATCTCGGTCGCGATCAGAGGAGCGTTAAAGGAAACGAGTTTTTTTTGTTACGCAAAAAAAAAAAATTAAAAAGAAACAGAAGCAGGAAATCGCCACGCTCGACGATGCGCTGCCGCAAGAACGGCAGCTAAGTAAAGTCTCCTCTCGATAAAGTTCTCTCGCGATCGAACGGACGGGACGCATCGCCGATTCGCATCGCGGGTTTCCCGTTAGTCCCCGCGATTCAGTGCGTGTCCCGTTTATCTCTTTATATTTGGTTCTTTCTATTTTGTAAAAAAAAAAATAAAAAAAAATAAAACCGGCGCGCGTGGATCTGAAAGATCGCGATAGAAGCATTTTTCCGCGCGAGATCTTTCGCGTTTCGATAGATGCGCGGCGATCACGAGGGTTTCCGTTAGCGCGCGCGCGCCACACCGCGCCGCGCCGGTCCCGTTAGCGCGGCGCGGCGCGTGAAATTCGCGTGACGATGTCGCGCGCTCGCGCGCGAGCGATTCGCAGCGAGCGGAAGACCTGTGGTTATCGCAAACGGCGGTACACGTGCCTGTGCGTCGACACCGCGGGCCAACGCGTCGCTGGTATAATGTCACCGAGCATTTAAAGTGACGTACGTTACGACACGACGCGAGGTTGCGTTTAAACGCTGCGCTTCGAGATCTACGATCCAAGTCTAAAAATAGAACGAAGCTATCAAACTCGGAGCACGCGTGCAGGAAATTATAGCAATCCTACCGCTTTGTTGCCTCACTTCCAATCTTGTCCCTCCCCCTTCTCCGCGGTATTACTTTCGTTAAGAATCAAAACACCAATAACTTCTTTATCTTTTGATCTTCTTCGAAGAGATCGAATTTTTGCCAAAGCATTTTCACGCTGCTTTTGCTAGTGAGATCCTGCATGAATCTTAATGCTTTAAATTAGCTTAAGTTAGCTTGACTATTTTAGTTTAATAGAGATTTATTTAGAAAATATTTTTCTTGTATCGATAATAATCATAAAAATAAATGAGATCCGTTTTCATTAAAGTATTGTTATTTTATAGCATTCTTAATTCTATATCTATATTGAAATATGACTCCCGAGAGTAAATTCTTTTAACTCTCTCATTTCTATTGTTGCCATGTAGTTTAGACTTATAAAAAATAAAATAGTATCGTCTATATCTTTTATATCTATGAACATATATTAATTCTCTTTTTAATTTTATGTAAGTGAATCTAATACTTTGACAGCACCTACTTACAATTTTTTTGGTAAATGAAGCATTATCAAAAATACAAACAGGTGTCTGTTTTCTTAAAATAACGCGAGAATGAAAGGATTAAATTGGAAAATTGTAGAGAGAGTTAGCAAATATATTTAAATTTTCTTCGAATTTATGAATGAAAATGTCACATTGAGGATACGTAGAACGTTGTCTATAAAATTTTTGGCATGATGACAATAATGGGTGGCACTCGAGGCCTCCGGAATTTACTTTTCATGTTGCCGCAAAAAACATTTTCAAGACCACCCTAGGCGCAAAGATGGCAAAAATGTAGACGTTACTTTTGAAAAGGATTTCGGCAAACTTTAAAATCAAGTTAAACGTTTTGGATTTATGTTTAGATTGCGGCCAAACAAAAGAAGCAAGATTTAAGAATATTAAATAGATACTTATTATATAATAAAACAGAAAATAAATCTTCACAACATTTTTATTCACACAAATCATATTCTTTATTCATAGAAAAGTCCGCCGTGGTTTATTGACCCCTGCCCTTGAACGTTGCAGCACGACATGCGTCATTCATCGTTACGTCTTTATTTGTACTTTTCTTATTTTGTTTCATCGTTCGGACGTCTGTTGCGTACGAACGATGCTCGCGAGGGATAATTGATAATTATTTCGTAAATAAAGATATGCAGCGTAAAAGAACAGCGTAATTTAATCGAATGCGAAACGTACAGAAAAGGGAAGGGATGACATTATCTCGCGATGATTTTCTTCCATTTCTTTAACGGTAAAGAGAAACGACCTATTACGCGTGTGTCGAATCGGTCGAAGTCAGAAATGGGGGAAAGATAACGACGATGGGAGAAAGAAAGAACCCACGCCTTTCCCCAGCGAGAGATATAAAACATCAGAGATATAATATAATATTTAACTTAATTTAATATTTAATTTTCTTCTTGTTTTGGGTATTCTATTGCTCAATAAAATAAGTATTCAGGTATCAATAGATTATATCAACCGACTTTTATATACTTGGGTCGTGCCGCTACCGCGTCGCTTGATAATTTTGTCGCACTAAAAGACAATCGAAAAGCATGTGAAATTTATTTTCAATTTTTCTGCGATTTTATTTTTCGAGAAATTTACTTGAAATTCACGTTTATTTTTCCTGCGGCTCGATTCAGCTTATTTTTTATCTGCAATATACGTGAAATACAATATATGCGTTAATTTAGAAAACTTTACGGTCAAAAATGAAACGCGAAAGATCCAAGTGTAAGCGTGATTTTTAGGAGACACGCAAAATTCTCAGTAACGATTGTGCGTGCAAGAAGCGACCTTGTAGCGCTTATATTATACACATTAATTCTAGCATACTCACCTTTCCATTTAATCACGTGACCATTTTTTTTATCACGTTACAATTATATAATTATA